TAGAGAAACTGGAAATTTGAAAAAAACACCGTGTCCACGCGGCATTAAGGGAATGGTTGGTCAAAGGCTGGTCATAACTGATGTGATGCGGCATGTCCCTGGTCACAAGTCAGACGGTGGTGAGTAGTCACCTCATGCAGCAATAAAAGAACACAACGCGCGAAGTACCACAAAGGGTAGGCAACATGTGATACACAACACAAGTAATCCTAATGCACAACACCACGTCTTCTTAAGTAAATTAAAATACTTTAATAAATATCAAATTTCATTTGTTGTACAACCGTTTACAGTATAACAAATTTTTGTTTAATTTATTCATTAATAATTTCAAACGTATTGTTATTCTATATTTTTCAGTATTTTAATACATATAATAAATAACATTATTTTGATGTATACATCTTATAAACAGGATATATTTTGGTAACCACAAATTTTGTGTCAAATTTTTAGTTGACGATTAAAGTCCTTAAATATAATTAAAAATCTTCTTTTATTTATTTTAATGTATACATATTGTATACATTGTATACATATTATAAAACAGATATATTGACGTACTATCTTTTTTGATGCACACATTTTTTTTGACGAATTACACTCGTTAAATAAAAAAAATTGTTATAATAATTGTATATCATAATTTTTTCTTTCTACAAGAATTTGACAACAAAATAGGTGACATTGTTTCAAACCTAAGTTGCACCATTTTGGTTGTGAATATAATTAACTTACCATGTATACAATAGATATGTTTTTTTGAACGTGGATAGCAACCCGAGGACATCAAATCATTTTTATTCTCATCATTATGTGCCAACTTCATCCGCAGAACCTAACCTACTGACCGCATACTGGTGGATTGGAAGTCATTCATTTAAATTTTAAATGGATGTCTGAGTGGAAAAGTTGAATGATGGCAATGGTTTTCAAATAGTTGATTACTTTTAATTTAGTTGTCTAGTGTGTACACCTTTGTTTTAGTTTTTCATTCACCAAATAACATGCCAAAACAAAATATCAAATCATATGGGTTTATGCTTTTTTATACACGTCTTGTAGAATATTAATAAATTTAAAAATGTTTTCATTATTATTTATTAATGTCGTAATTTGATTATAAATAGTAATGTGTATTGTGAGGTTGAGTTCATCCCTACCTCCTCTTTCAACCCAAAAAAAAATGAGTACACTCAGCTCTCAGGCAAAGGTTTATGTCGTGTTTGAGGGACGGAAGCCAGGAATTTATTACTGTTGGGAAGAATGTGAAGCACAGGTTAGTGGCTACAAGGGGAACAAGCATAAATAATATGCCACGTATGAAGAAGCATGGTCTGCTTGGATAATGTACTGCAACAAAGAAGGCACTGAAGAAAAAAAAAATAAAAACAAAGGTCACAGAAAATATCCAAAACAATCAACGAGTAGCGGAGAAGGTTAATTTTTCCATTAATTTATGAATAATTTTTTTATTACAAATATATAATTACTTTTTGTTTTTTTGTTGTTGTTATTAGGTAGTAAGCCACATGATATTGTAGAGGACACTAATTCTGAGGTGTTTCTTGTTCATCAAAGCATGGCAATATTGTTGTCTCACATATGTGTCGTTCGTGGTTATCCTGACCCAATGTTCACATTGGAGCGAAAACAAATTGTTGAAGGAGTTGAGTATCGTAGGTACTATGGAACATTGGTTACGGGTGATGTTGGCAACCTGGTTTCATTGGGAAAATTTGCACCAAATGACTACGATGCTCAAGAGGATGTGTCGGCTTCATTGATTCGTCGACTACTAGCAGCAACGGGTAAAATGATTCGTGACTACAACTACTATAATGTTCAAATCCTGGAGGAACAACTTGAAAAAACAATGAATCAAAATTTGGAGCTGGAGATGGAGGTTTGTATGTTAAATGAACAGATGGCAAATTTTCGTGGTGCCAAGGAAAAAGAAGAACAATGATTGTTTCAAATATGTATCCTACTCCGCCGTAGTCACTGCATATTTTGTTTCTATGTTAAGGACATGATAAATGTTTTTGTTTCTTTTTTTGATGTTTTTGGATGGGGTGGTTATTTCCTTTTATGAGAATGTTTTATGATATGGTGTATGTATTTAACTTGTTCCTTTTTTAAAATGACGAATGTGTTATATTCATCATAATTGTTCAACTTCCACTGAACTCACCGAACCTTGTCTTTATTTATTTATGCAGTCAACACTGACTGTTTGAGTTATGCGGTGCAATTATTTGTCATTAATAGACATGTTACATATAATTACATTTACTTTTGTTGTAACATCCACAAATTGATTCATATTTCATGGGAGTGTGCCTGTTTAAATTGAGTCGTTAAATATAAACATATATTGTGTATAATTTGTGTTAATTTAATGTACTCAGCTTCATTATAAACTAACAATATAATTGTAGCATCAATGATTACAAATTATAACTGATAAAGAAAGTCATGTAATACACAATCTATTGCAATAAAGACAAACATCATTACCCTTTTTGTACATATAGGATCTTCGGATCACGAGTAAAATAAAATTGAAGGACATCGTCCACCAAAAAGTTATTTGAACAGACGAACTCATACCATCCTGCAGCAATGTACCTTTTATGACAACTTCCTTTAAGTTAACATAAATATTGCTTCTTCATCTTGTATGACTATTTTTTGTTGTTCATCTGGGATAAAATCTCTAACAACATCATATGGAATAGTCTACAACAACAACATTTTATAATTAGTGATCAAAAAATTGATTATTTAAAGTAATTTTGAGTACTTAATTACTAAGAATACTTACCAGGGGTTCAAATTCAAATAAATCATCCCCAGTAATTATTTTGATCCAACTTTTGTCAATCATAAACTGTTGTAAATTTTCTTCGTCTTTTCTAATATCATAATTAATTTCAAATTTGCTTGCAGAAAAAACCCTTATTAAGAACTTATTATGCTCCACATAATGAATCCAAAGCAGATGATTCTGTTTAAGATGATAACTTTATACCAGTTGCAAAGCACCTCTCAATTGGAAATTAACTCCACTTGAGTCGTATTCTAATTGAAAACAAAATTCATTTCCTGCAGGATCAATAATTACCGCAACGCCAAGATTCATCTTATGTTGCCAATACAAATTAAAAGTTCCTCCAAGTGGCAATATATCCTGGTATAAATGAATATAACAAAATAAAAAAAAAATTCAAATTACATATTCATACAAGAAACTACACACATTTTATTTATGGACGATTGTAAAATGAGTACCTGTTCCTTATTTAGGTTGGTTTTGAATGTTTGCCAAAAGTTGCTTGAAAAATCAATACTACTTCGGTCCATCAATGCGTTTGCAATTGGATAATCTATTTCAACATATTTTTCATTGAATATACATACATGGAAATAATTATTTCATATAAAGTGCATGAAAATAATATGAACTGTCTTCATTTCATAGAAATTTGTCATATGAGTGCAGCCACTTCTAAACCAATGCTTTTGTTTTCTTTTACAAATTTCAAGTGTGCTGACATTCCCATTCGGATCCATGGCATAACATAAATCGGTCAGCATATGATGACCCCAAAATTTGTTAAAGTACTTGCATATTTTCATTGAATCCTGTATATTCAAATATAAACAGTTGCATTACAAACAAAAACACTTTATAAAGACTACTACTTAACATTAAAAATTAAATTAAATTACCATTCCTGGAGTTAATTTTGAACCGGAAGTTTGAAACCAGTATTAGAAGTTGCCATTGTTTACCGATGTCGATGAACATGCCATTTTGAAAATCTGAACCAATAAATTTTTTTACTAACAATTATTTATGTTGTTGGATTGTGTAGTTGAAATAAAATTTAAAATCAAACTGAAAACCGACATACCTGGATGAGACAACGATCAAGTGAACTGGAAATATATGGTGTTGGGTTGTGGAAGACGGAATGTGAAAAGCCTGTGTTTGGTGAACAAAAATAGCAGTCGTGCTTTTAAGTTGAAAGGGTTTACATATAACACCAAATATGAAGGGTTGCTAATTTACACTAAAACCCTTTACCGAAATAGGTATTAATTACTTATAAAATAATTAATCATAATAACCCGAAAAGACACAAAAGCGGTTTTTACATTTACCAAGCACACACAGATGATATCAAATTGTAATTATTTTGATCCAACTTTTGTCAATCATAAACTGTTGTAAATTTTCTTCGTCTTTTCTAATATCATAATTAATTTCAAATTTGCTTGCAGAAAAAACCCTTATTAAGAACTTATTATGCTCCACATAATGAATCCAAAGCAGATGATTCTGTTTAAGATGATAACTTTATACCAGCCTTAAACCTCACTTACGACCCAGGTTCATTATGAACAATTGTACGTGTTCGGACACAAATCTCCGTAACATTTTTCCAAATTAGTTTAAAACAGAAAATAATAAACATGTTATTAAATAAAATTATTATAATTTTTATTCAATGTTAAGTATTACTTAAAATTTTCTGTATATTTTGTCTTAAAAGTCTCAATTTTATGTGATTCTCATTCAGTACTTCACTAGATAATTAATTAAATAAAATATAATTCACCCGTTGTATACATGTTGTTTATATATTAATATGTATTTATTGGAATAGACAATTATATATTTATTAGTTATATATTTATTAAATACTCAAAATCGTGCAACCTCATCCACTTAAATCCACTTAAAATATAAAACAAAAAAAAATGTATATAAACGGGTGCATACATTAAATAAACAGTTGTACTCCACCGGACGTCGGACGATGGGAGTGCAGTGTTTGGAAACAGAAGGGATGCAACTTCTAGTATTCATATGACTCTTCGTAAAACTGGTTTTTGGTATAAATATGACCATCGTCATTTGTTAGTCATGATTGTTTGACTTGTCGACCAATACACTCCTCTGATTCTGTACACTGAACATCACAGTTACAATGGCACTTCCATTGGAGATAATAACGGAGATATTTTTGCGAGGACCGGTGAAATCATTTTGCAGAGCCAAAGCGGTGTGTAAGCTTTGGTTTGGTTTGTTTGCTCAATCTGTCTTGGCGAAAAAGCACTATGACCTAGCAGTAGACCAAAATAGAATCGCGAAAAAAATAATGTTGTTTTCATGTTTCGTAAATGAAATACTAGCAGTAGACGTAACGAAGCCTCTTGTTGCTCCAGATGCCAGTTGCATTCTTCGCTCCCCATTGGCCAACTCCATTCGGTACAGTAAAATCGTTGGTACATGTAGGGGAATGGTACTAATTTCGGTGCCTACTTCGATGTTGATATGGAATCCGTCTACCGGATTTACTCGTTCATTTTGTCCATGGTCAGCTACTACAATATCTATATGCGGGGATGTATTCGGTCTGAACTTCTATGGATTTAGTTATGACCGATCTGAAGACAATTATGTTGTCCTTCAAATTTATCTTAGTAAACATGATACATCCCATCGCGCTTTGCTATATTCTGTCAATGATGATTCATGGAGGGATATCAAAGATGACTCCCTTTCCACCATTACACGCCCTTCTGTTTGTGTTCATCAGGGATCTATGGGATTGTATTTTGCAGATTCTCTTCACTGGATTACTTTCAACTATGAAACAAATGCTGATGTTATTTTGGCTTATAATATATTTGAGGCTAAATTTTATGAACTAAGTATTCCGGATGAAGTTGAATTACAGGACTATAGTGTCTGTTGTTTGAGAATTATAAGAGACAGTTTGGCTTTGTGTACAGTCATGCATGATGAAAACTGGGACTACACGGTGGACATATGGGAAATGAAGGAATATGGTGTCACAACATCTTGGTCTAAGTTGACATGTATGCAGGTCAGTAATCACATTTCAAGATATATGTTACCCGCCTGTTCTTCAGAGAATTCCCTTGTATTTGTCAACAATGAAAGCGGACTTTTCGCCACATGGAATGCAATGGA